TAGGGGTCAGTGTGGTAATGAGTTCAGCATCAAAGTAGCGCAGGTCTGAGGAAGGTTCGACTCCCATCCAGGGCCATTCCACAGGAGAGCCAGCTCTGCCCTCATGTATAGGTGATACTGCTCCTCTAGCTGGATGGATGCAGCTAAGACACATCAGCACAGTCCAAATGAAACAGATTATTGCTAAAGAGCTTGCTCTTTCAGTGAGGCAGCTGACTGGCACATTCCTGGGCGGGATTGTTTCCTTTACTATGCAGGACTGGAAATTAAAAGAAGCTGTGTGATTAGTTACTGCAACATACACAGGGATAAACTTTCCCTATCTGCACAACTGTCTAAGGACATGCAAACAGGGGCCACTGGGCTGAACCTTCCAGAAGAAGTCTAGCATTCAGACTGGCTCTGAAGCATGGAGCTGACCCCGCTTCAGATGCAGATGCATTGTGATGAAAGATGCTCTCGTGACACAATGCAGAAAACTCACAGAAGAATGCAAACTTCTCTCCTAAAATTGATCTTCTTTGGCTTCCATCACCACAAAACTTGTACGCTCCCATCTTTACCAGGTTTTCCTGAGAGTGCCTCCCTCTGCAGAGTAGGGAGGTGGGATTACACCCATTTTACAAAAGGGAGATTAAGTGACTTTCCCAAGGGCACAAATAAAGTGTGGTTCTGAGTAGGAAAACTGAACCTGGGCCTTTCAAGGCTCAGACTTCTGTCCTAAGCACTAGATCAGAGGTGTCAGCCATACGGCCTGTGGGGCTCCCAGAGAAGCTAGGATTTCAGGGACAGGTTCAGTAGGGGATGGGGTTTGCTGCAGAATGTAGGGCCCATTTGGGGGTGGCTTTTAGTGGCAAGGGGCCAAGTGAAAGTTGTGGTAACACAATTTGCTTGCCCCACCACGGTTTGATCTGCCACTGCTTGGCCCACTGCTGCTTAAGCTGCTGTGGCTGCTTGGCCCACCATTGCTCAAGACAGCACTGATGCTTACTGTACCAGCGCTTACCTTGCCACTGCTGAGTCTCAGTCTGGCCTGTGGTCCAGATCCAACCCAGGGCACGGGGTGAGGTGGACACTCCTGCACTTGGCCATCCTTCCTACTTTACCAGCCAAGGCAAGAGAATTTCCCTGTGTTGGGATAACGGGTATATTATGTCCCATTTCCAGTGATGGTAGCATTTTCTTGGACAACAGCTGGTTCCAAGGAACTAATGGGGATTTCAGTACTACTCACAATTTTACTGAACAGACTGATGCTCTTTACACTGCTTTTCATGTGCAGTCTCACTAGCATTTAGAAAATGATCAAACAGTGAAGAGCGGTACTTTTGTGCTGAGATTAACAGGCCCAAGTTAACAGCTGGAGTAAGAGGATGCAATTCCACGAAAGCCAGAGGATGTTCACTTCCTTTGGGCCAGTACAAAGTCTGTTAAGGTAGCCCCTAGACAACTTAAAGTGGATTTGCTCAGGCAAATACCTGCTGCAACCAGAGACTGCCAGAAGCAGGACCCTTCCTCCAGCCCAGCCCCAAATGGCAGTCTTGGCAAAGCTGGGTCTTTAATCACTCTAGGTGCTGATCTTGTAAGACATGGGCCATGGGTCATTTGGGTTGGTGTCACAGGACAGCAGTGCTCCACAGACAAGTGCCAGCACATATGCAACAGAGGCAGCAAGCTTGGTTAAGAATGGGAACAGCTTATCATATAATAAGTAACTAATGACAACAGTCTGGGCAGCCCCGAACTGCAGGAGGAAGTGGTAATTTTCCTTTCAGAATCATACTACTTAGTCCTCCAAAGAGGCCACCACTTCCCTCTGCTGCCATCTTCCAGAAGCAAAGCAGAAGCTGAAATGCATGCTACAGTCCTGAGCCAGAACCTGGTATAAGAATCCCAGCACAGCTCACAAGGGGTGCCACTTCAGCTTGTTCTCCCGCACCTCTGCGCTCTCTCTAGCACTCTTTACAGGTGCCCATAATTGACCCACTCAGCAGTTAAGTTCTAAGTTCACTTCAGCTTGCAAACAGAGACACCAAAGGGGGAATCCTTGGGTCTGAAGGATCAAATCATTTGTGTCAGACACTCCACCCCCACCAAGGAAAAGAGTTCTTCTCTCCTTTTCCTTTACCCCTGGCAGGTAGGCAGGTGTGCATGAACTCTCTCACACACACACACACACACACACACACACACACACACACATGTAATTCAGAAGCTCTTGGGAATGTTTAAGAAAAATTACAGAGCTGCCAGACTCCCAAGTATTCTGACATTGCCCTCCCCTCTCCAACAACAAAAAACTCCTGGAGAAAGTAAAGCAAGCATTCTCTTTGGCAGAGCATGAGGGAATTTCTCATAGGTAGTCCTACTGACCAACTTAGCACTGTTAGGAAAGCACCAGACATGCTCAGTTCCCACATCCTAGTTCTGCAGGCTTCCATCTAACTAATCAGCCTTGGAGGAGCATCAGGCAGCTACCAGAAAATGTTCTCACCAGCTGAAAAGCCAAAGACCTACTGATGTCAGTTCTGCCACTGGCCTGATTCCCTGCTTTGAAAGTAGCCATGGGGAACAGGAAATGGGGATCTGACCACTAGCTCAGGCAAGGAAAATAACAGGCAACAAAAAAGACCTGTAACCACAATAACATCTTCTCTTCCCTGATAGGGAATGGCCAGAGCACCTCACAGGTCTTTAGGAAAAACACGCTGGCCATTTGCACAGCTGACATCCACACCTCCCGTCCTCCCCATTTGCCTCTTAAACCCTCTGCTCTTGGCACCTTCTTTACCACCTTTCCGACAAGATGTAAAACCACGTGGTCCTGTGTGCTGCAGTGTGGCAGGATCTATGACCCAGCAGGACTTTTTAGCTGACGGTAAGAGTTAGACGCTTGGAAAAACCCTGCTGAGTAAATTCTGCTAACACAACATGGCAGGCACAAGGTTACTGATTGCATCAGGATATAAGAGAGGTAGGCTTGACTGTGCTTCCAGGAAACTAGGGCAGAAACAAGGACATCCTGAGGGGAAACCCTTGGAACAGGTAGGTTTGAGAAAACCCAGATTAGTATCTGGATCGCAGATAGTGCCAGCCACGGGAAGGGGATCCCTTTAACATTGTTCAGCATATGTGGATGTCCTTTAGTAACATTCACTTTTGCCTACATTCCCCACCCCCCCTTACTCATCGCTGGCCTCTGTAAGATGTGTATTTCTTTTCTTTCCTGCTTGGATGCGTGAGTGGCAGCACCTGTTCCAGGAAAGACCCTGCAGAGGGCGGCAGTGTGCGCCTAAAAAGGCTGAAGGTGAGCCTGATAGGAAAGGGGGGGGATCTCAAACCAGGAACGCCACAGAAGGCAGGGAGACAGGGCTCCTTTTCTGTACGGATGAACAGAGGCTCTGTAATTCCTTAAAAATACAGACCTCGGTGGAGGGCTAGGGTAGGGTCTGGAGGATCAAACTAAATAGCAACAACAGTCACCAAAATAACTAGATCTGCCACCTCTAAATTGCCTATGCCCTTGTCCCCTTCTAAGGAGGCACTCAAGGGTTTGGGAGCTCGGTCAGAGCCTCAACCCACTCCTGAAGAGCAGGGGTAAGAGAGCGGTCAGTGAAACAGAACAAGGGCCAGAGCTATGAGCAGTCCTGTGTCCTGTGCAGGTCATGCTGCTCCCATTCAGAAAGCCTGGGGAGCTCCATTATTACGGCTGTTAGTTCTGGCTTGGCACTAACAATACAGAGAGCTCAATCCTCTGTTTAGCCAAAGGACAGGTACAGCAAGAGCAGCAGCCACACATGCTTTACTGCCCCTATGGCAGTAACCCTGACCGACAGAGATCAGTTTTTAGAGTGGGAAGATATTTTGGTCTTGGGGATCACTCAGCACGACTACCTGCTGAGAAGCCAGGGCTCCAGCTTGTGCTATGTGTGGATGTTAAGCCAGGAGGATGCCTGCCTTCTGATATGGGTGAAGACCCCAGCTCTATCCTGCAGGACACCAAACAACCTTAATAGGATTTGGACTCCTTCTGCCCTGACCTGGGCCAATGCTGAACAGTCTCTACCCCATTTACAACCCACTCAGCCATCAAGATCCCCCTAGGGATCGTTTATTTCAAGCATGCCCCGCCAGAAGGTGGATCATCTGGCCTCTGTCTCTTTCACTGCAGCCCATTTGGGTGCCAAAAGGTTTGGGCTGAGGGCAGCTCCATAAGGGGGTTGCTATATACATCTATCCGAGCATGAAGCGAGATGTGAATGCTCAAGACACGTGGAAGATGCATGCGACTACAGACCCGTGTTCAGGTGTTGGCTGCTCTCCATGGCCTCCTGAGAACTCTGCTCCCATTGTCATGCCATCCGCCCTCGGCTCTGCCGCTAGGGATCAGGTGCACAGACAGAAGCCAAATTGCCCATTCCTGACTGGAGCACCTAGGAGCTTGCCTCTTATACAGTCAGAGTCACAGGGGGATTTGTCTGCACCATCTGGATTCCTGCCTTGTGGCTCCATTTGTGCTCCCTGCCTACCCGCCCCCCCCCCCCCCAACCACCCCCCAAAAAACCAACCCCTCCCCCC